TACAACATTTTAAAACATTTAGGAAAAACCACGTCTCACACGCAATGGATTTTGATGAAAAGAAACTGATCACAATGATGTCAAGATCCAGGACTGGGATGAATGAAGAAGTAGAAGATGGATATCTCGAAACCAATCACCCAGGAGTTAACTGGTTTTGGAAAATTGTACAGAAAGACAAAATGGGTCTTGCTAATGTTCAACCACATAATAGGAAGGTTTTAGATGACTCAACCCACACAATAAGACTCACAAACGGTCACAAACCCAGAAAAACCTATCTATTTTTCAGGAAATTAATACTTTATCGAGCATTGACATTTAAGCAGGAAAGAGAACGAGAAACTCACCGTCCGTCTGAGAGATTGGACTCCAGTATCTCAGAACCGTCTTCTTCCAAAAAAATTGATTTCTGCCCCTTTATTAGATTTAATCTATTCGGACAATGTTTAGTATGACTACTTGGGCACAGATTCAAGCATAAGGTCAGGTTCCCAATCTTTCAGTTTTGAAATTTCTCTAGATTCTTCGAGACTACCAGTCACCGATGACCTTACATATTGGCACCCATAAAACTTCATCGGCTAGCACGAGCGACAACCCAATGTCCATTGAGATTTCATCAAAAAATACTCTGGAATCCGGCCTTACTTCGGGCAGCTACTCCAGACCTAGAAGAAACCCTGGCCCTCCTAAATTTAACGGAGAGAGGGGGTTCGTGAACAAAGTGTCACCACAAGGTGATAATTGACTTGTTTGGAAAAATCGGATGAGTCTCCAATCCCAGTAGTGTCTCTAACCAATAAAGCGGTCTAAAAAAGCTCCAAAGACATCTAAGACATAGCACGATCCAAATTGACTTCCTTTCATCAAAACTGACCACTCTGGACAACTTTGCAGCCAATCCAACGTTGGTGAAGGAGACCACTGAATGCTACACAACCTCATTATCGTCGATGGACTCGAAATAAGTCGTGAAAAAGAAAATAAGAAAATTGATGAACACGATCGCGATAGCGACATATTCCCGTCAATCGACATAGAAACGAGAACTGAGGCCGAAAGAACTCACAAAACTTTTAACGCAGACTGATCAAAACTCTTTTAACTCGCAGAACGATCTTTGTTTGTATGTACATCTAACCCTTGATGTTTAGTCTAATTAGATTTAAACAATTCTCTGATTTTATTTTGCTGCACGCAATGAGAAATATCGTGATTTTATTTGGAATTGTACTTTAGTCATTAATTAAAACCAAAGATTTTTTGCTTTATCTATATATTTTCGCGCATAAAAATTGCAAAGGTGATATTACATTAATTTCCGCATTTCAATGAAAGATCTGAATTAACAAACTCTTACCATTTTCGCCAAAAACTATTATTACAATTTTTGAAAAACAGAAACTTTTCAAATGATGTAAATTAGAGTTATAGTTTGAAAATTTAATTGTGTGAATAAACAGAAGTCTAATTTTCTTCATTTAAATTTTTTTTTTCAAATTGATGCATATGTTTTTGGGAACCTTGATTGTGCATTCCAGCTAACTTTCTATGTTTTCATCGTCTGAGCTGAAACATAACAAGCAATCTCCTCTTGAAAATTTGAAAATTTGCTAAGTATCTGTTAGCAACTAGCAGAAACTTCACAAAAAACAGATTCTAAGAAAAACAGCACAAATAATAGAAACAATTTAGTGTTTATATGCAGAATCATGCAGATCTTTTTTCGCAAATCTTGCCAGATGAAGGCAAATCTCGCAAAAGCATTAAACAAAAAAAGCACGAAAACAAGGTAATTTTGGCGAAATTACGCCCCCAGAATTCTGCAACCCATGTTGCGACCTTGCGCAAGCCATGTTGCGACTTTGCGCGACTCATGTTGCGACTTTGCGTGACGCATGTTGCGTCTTTGCGCGACCATTCTTGTGACTTTGCGCGACCCATGTTGCGACTTTGCGCAACCCAAATTAGGTATGTTGCAACTTCGATTGACCCAAATTAGTTATTTTGCGACTTTGCGCTATTAAGTTAGCTATGCTGCGACTTTGTGCGACCCAAAGTCGTTTTTTTTGTGACTTTGCCTCACCGAAATTGGCCATGTTGCGACTTCGCGCGACCCAAATTAGCTATGTTGCAATTTCGAGCGACCCAAATATGTTATGTTGCGACTTTTCGCTACCCAAGTTAGCAATGCTGCGACTTTGCGCGACCCAAATTTGCTATGCTGCGACTTTGCGCGGCCCAAATTAGCTATGTTGAGACTTTTTGCGACTCAAGCCTCCTGTAGGGATGATGGAATATCGGTCCCAGAAAATCCATTCTGGCGACCCATTTCGGTCGCAACATGAGTCGCGGTTTTTGGCCCGGCTGGCGCTGAAAGCGGAAGTAAGAATCATCTGTCTTATAGCTCTCAAAGTAACTTTCAGAAAACATGGTTAAAACAATCAAAAAAGTTTGTGGCCTAAAAAAGATTTGAATAAATTTGAGCATCAAATCCATTAGACAGAGAGCGAATTTTATTCGCTTCAATACTTTGCTGGAACTTTTTTCATACTACGAAAAAAACGTATTTGAACCTTTAATTAAGCTATTGAAAACTAACTTCGTTAGTTGCTTCTAGCGCCGCCTGAAAATTAATTGTAAAAAAAAGCTTTCAAAAAAATGACACTTATTTTCTACCAAGTTTCTCCAAAAATAATTCCTTGTGATCGGAACGTTGACTCGTTTCGTTAAGAACTGCTTCGGTTTTCAATATTATTTGTTAGGTTCAAGCGATCGATGAAAATGTCGCTGTAAATGTTTTATTCTCATTCCTGACAACAAAACCTGAAATAAATTTTTCTGGCAAATAGATGACTCTGAGAATTTCTAAGAAAAGTGAAAAAAAAATTCGTTTCAATGAATTCTTACGTTCTAAAATCTTATCAATAAAAAATATAATGATAAAGTCTTATCAATCTAAAATATAATCGTTGCCCTCAGACCAAAAAAAATGGAATAAAAAATCGATTGATTTTTCAAATCCCTTTAAAATTAATTATAATCAAATAAAATGGATTTTTCCCCCTAATTTTAGTTCGCGTCTTGCAAAGTTCATCGCGAGGCCAAAATGTTTATTTTAAAAATTATGTGCGGATTGCACAACAAGGACGCTCCCTTTGTTCTTCTTCTGTTCTATCATTCTCTCTTTCATCGTTCTGACAAAATTTGAACATGTTTAAAGACTTGCATCTGGAATCCAGGAACATGCAGACCAAAAAATTGTGCGTATATCCAGTGAAAATTTTGACCTCATATTGTTTTGCAAAAAAACTTCTTCGGTTATCAAATGATTCCGTTGAGCCCCCATTCGTTTATCCCGTTGCCCCCTTTACACCCCGCCCCCACAGTTTGCCGCTTTTCCCCCTTTGTGCCTTACCCCACCATCACGCACCTGAACTAACCCCCTCCCACCTGAGCCAACCCCTCTCCCCACCTGACCAACCACCCTCCTCCTCTCTCTACCAGAACCAACCAATCCTCCCCAGCTGGATTGTAATTCTTGCCCCCTTCCCCCTCCCAAACTATTCAACCAGTTTTTCTCGGTCAGTTTTATAAAAAAAAAAGACTTTCAAATTATAAAAAGACTTTAAAAAATTAGTATTTTTTTTTTGGCTCGCAATCACTTGCTAAATTATTCCACCTCCATTTTTACCCACCCTATCCCCAAATTTTGAGATTAATTTAAATAAAATGTTGAAAGGAACAAAATTGCGTAACAGAGTAAAATAGAAGAATAACAAAAATCAAAGTAACGCAGACAAAAAATCGGACAAGTAACAACTTAAGTTTAAAACGTAAAAAAGATTTTTTGTGCGTTGAACTTCGCATCTCAACAAAGTGGGAAAGAACGATTACAATAGAGTTTCATTGTCGTATTTATGAACGATAAAAATAATCGATTATCATTGATTTGCAATGGATTTTAATACTTCATCAAATAAAAGCTAAAGATGTTTTTAATTGATTAGTTTCTACTTGTATTTCATAGACACTGACAATAAAATTAATATAATCAAATTTTATCCATGGAACGCCACTTTTCTGGTCACTACAGGGGTCGAGGTGCTCACTTTATGTTTCGACAGTATCAACTAAAATTTGATATGTTTCGAACGTGGTCGACCGTGTTCGACCCACGCTAAGTGTTTGTCGACCGTGCTCGACCGAACAAATTGTGCTTGACCGTGCTAGACGCGATCAAGGTATGTGTTCACCGTTGTCGACTGAAAAAAAGTGCTCGACCGAGTTCGACCCAAGCAAGATATGTGTCGACCGTGCTCGCAGAATTCTGGTATATTTCGACTTTCAAACAACATGTTCGCATTTCAAACATCATCCAAATTTAAACGATATAAATTATGCTTTTCGGGTAATATCTTTTAATGCTTTGTGATCAGAATAAAATGCTTTGAGATTCTTGCCAAATGAATGATTTTTAGAGATGAACTATATTTCAGCTATTTTTCTATTTTTTCGAGTACTCGTTTGCGAATTGAGTCGAAAACGTTAAAAAAATCGGTTTGATACTTGAAACAAATTTTTCATTTGGATTCCGAATTACGGCAGAATATTTGGTATAATTCGACCGTAACCGATTTATGTTTCGAATTTCAGCTCGACCCAAACCCTTTTCTCGATCGAGCACTGACATGCTCTCAAACTTAAAAGTCGAAACATAAACTGAGCACCTCGACCCGCGTAGATTATGAGGTTTTTTTGAAAAGAAAAAGTTCTTTTGATCTCGCTCGCTGTGGAAAAACAACTTAAGGACCAACTCAGGGCCACAATTTCCTAAACATGCTTCTTTAATATCACTTCACAAAAACATGCTTGCAGGCCAACAACTTTGCTGCTAAGTGGACCCGAAAGCAAAATCTTATTCCTAACATGCTGGAAGAATTGAGCTATTCCCCTATCAATTTGTCTCTTTTGCAGAAACGGTAGAACTGAAACTGCATAAATTCTTCAGGTCCAATCTTGATTCTTTCGGTCCTTTAGTTGGTAGGAAGGATTAACCACAGAAACAGAACCGCAATATAATTCAACTGCCGCACAAAGCTTAAATCATTATCCCTCCGTTTTGCTTAGTTTTGCTGAAATTTTCATGAAATTGTTGAAATAAAATAATCGCTTCAAATGTCATTAAAAGTCCAAGTTGTCGTTTTGGTTGTTTTTCTCAGTTATTTGACTATATCAGGTTAGTTTCAAAAAAAATGTTATCAAAATCAATTAAAAACAATTCGTGATTTTTGCAATATCCTAAGAAATCAAAAGTATATTTTTCGTAGAGCTGAAAAATGTGAACCCGTCTGCTAATCAAGGGACAAAAAAAGCTGCCCAACCACAAGGAACTCCAAGCCCTGGTGGACCAGCCAAAACCCAAGCAAACCCTTCAAAAAAGGCACCAAATGTGAAACAAACTGGTAAAGTTCCGCTGGAAAAAGTTGGGGCTGGAGCCGGAGTCGAACCGCAATCTAAAACTAAAGTTAAACCGGAAGCAGCGGCTAAACTAACAAAAGAACAGGTGAAAGAACTACATCAACGCAAGAAAAGTGCGCCGGTTAAAGGTCAACATCATGAGGAGCCAAAGCATGCCGAGCACAGTAAACCAGAAGGTTCGTAGAATTGAATATTATCAGTGTTCATTCATAAATCATAATTTCAGCCAGAGCACAAAAAAATTTATATTGGAAAAAAAATAGATATTTTGATAAAAATGGGAAAAAACTAAATGCCTTCTTCACCTCGCGAAAAGTCTAGATCAGCCTCTGACCTTTTACCTTTAAAGCATTATATAGAATAATTGGTTTAAAAAAATTTCCTTCATACTGGCAGATTTTGAAATTGATATTTGCTAGCTGGTAAACCGAAACATGGTAAGGGTATGCATCACCAAGCTCATGACCTTCATCATAACCAGCATCATCAGGGAAAACAACATGTTAAGCCAGAGATGGGTGGGAATAAAGAAGTTCCTCAAAAAACGTCGCAACCAGCTCAAGATCCAGATTACAATGGTTCGAGCAATAAAATACAACTCTTGAGCCTAACTGTAAAAAATCATTATCAACTATTCAAAAAACATTAATCAATTGATAAGGATAATTATATGGTTGATGGTTTGTTTGATTTTTTTTCTTTAAGTTACAATCATTACTCATATTCATCAATTGCTTCTAATGATCAGCTTTTTGATACCATCACTAATCTGATCTGATTTGTACTCACCACATGTATAATAATTTGTCTCTGCCAAAAAATTGCCTCAACTTCATCGTGGTACGAGCGTAAAAAATTTAGAACCTTTTGATTTTGTTATGGTTTTTAAGTTGTTTTCAGTTTACCAAACAATTTTTTGAACTCATTAATAGGTTCAGAAATGCGCTTAAGAAGTGACACTTGAAATAATAATACTTCTAAACTCATTAGAAAATAAAGAATTACGCTTTAGAAGTGACGCCTGAGATTGTAACTGAGCCACCTGCTGAAAAAGTCGAGGAGGTTGTTGTCAGTAAACAAGTAGATGAGTCATCAGAAGTCTCACCCGGACAGCTTCCGGAAAAGAACGAATCAACTGTCACTGGAGCTGATGACCTAATGGATGGACAGTACAATTTAACCAGGTGCAATTCAAGAATTTTGCGGTAGCGTTTTTAATTCTAGAGATTTTGATTTCTGCTACGTAACCATCTTTTGGGAGTCTAAAGATAATCTATGAAGAAGTACCTTGAAGGAGTCAATCCAACTTACATAGATTTTGAAAACTAGATTTCGAATTTCACATTTCAAGTTTCAGCGATAAGTTTCGTCGGGACCAAGCTCGTTATTTTGATTTTAATGGACTTAACAAAAACAGCTTGTAGAATTAATAATTGGTTTCTTACTATGATAAATGCTATTTTTTTCAACCTTCATATGAACTGGTGCTGATTTTTTGAAAATCGTATAATTCCAACTTCATAATTCCAGCAATTGTGGAATCAAAAATTGTTTTCACTTGAGGGGTTATTCTTACCAAATGAAAGCAAAACTTGACCTTTTGACCTTGAAAGGTACAACCGGTCATCGGAAGAGTGCAAAAAGGGGTGCAGTCCCTCAGGGGTGCCCTATCTCCTGATCCGAGACAGACCCCCTCTGAGGGTGGTGAAACCGAGGACTCCTGTCAAGGCGGGGGCATCACATGGAGCTCAGAAGCCCTTCCACTCACCCTCTGGCGTGTCCTATGAGTCGATCAGAAACAGACCAGAAGTGGATTTCAAGCGTAAAATGATTTTAATCTATTTTAGGTTAAACTTTTGTGCAAAAACCAAAGACAGAAAAAAAAGAAACACTTTATTCTATCAAAATCATAGATTAGAAATGAAGTGTACGTACTTTGCCTAAACAAAACTAATTAAAATTATCAAATAACATCAAAAATCTAATAATAAAGTGTTCGTTAAATTATCATATAGGAAAAACAAGGAATTTTTTCTTAGCGCTTACAGGATCAATTTTTTGATGAAGCTATGTTAATGACTATCTCTTCTCGATGCTTATTATGTTCTCTTGGTGGTGTATAAACCAGCCGAAGTATCGACCAGCCGAAGGCACGTAAGTTTGACATAAGTAACAGTTACGAAAGTTATTGAAAAGTTACGAAAGTTTCATTGTGATGATTTAACTTTTCGACTGGTTTATAAACTCTGCGCATTTTCGGTTGGTTTATACTTCGGCTGGTTTATTCACGCTCATTTTTTTCTTTTCTACTTAGTGAATATATGACTGATCAAAAGCTTCTTCTAGATTTTTTGTCTGTTTAGTGAACCGGGCGAAGAAGGAGAGTGAGAGTGGGAGCAGGATCCAGAAGCCATTCCACACTGTGTCCGGCATCCCCTATGCAGACATCCGCAACAGGACACCCCTCCCAGACTGGTACTACACAAAGTGTGAGTATGGTCACAATTCGGATCTCTTTAACAAACAGATCTCCACCCCACACATCTTCCCTTCTCGATACCAGAAAGGTGACATTTTTTGCGTAGTGCTTGTTTTAACACAAAAACTAACCCCCATGTGAATAATCCCTTCCCGTAGATCTAGATATACCGAGTGAACAATCTCCCACCTAATGCTAAATATCAAGTTGAAGCAGTAAGACGTGCTTGCATCATGCTCAAATCTGACCGGCTGAAAATTTTTGCTCCGAACCAAGTGAACTATCTCCCCTTTTTTAATTTAGCGGGAGATAATCTTTTGATCCAAAAACTGTTGGAGGCTACGAAGTTTCTTGTGTTGCTTATGACAACATTCAAAAATAACAAGTAAATATTATTTGAACATCCCGCCAGCCCCCCCCCCCCCCCAAAAAAAAACACACACAAGCGCAAAGTGGCACAGTGATAAACCAGTTAATGTAATAGATAGCAACCTTCATTTTGTGAAGATTTTTCTAATTGCGAAAATTATTCACTTTTCTCAGGTAATTTCTAAGATTGAGTTAAATTTGATTTAGGTGTAATTAGAGGAGCATGCAGCCGAAACCACTAACATTCTACTAACCAACTCTGAAAACCGGATCTGATGAATTGCCATATTAGCAACTGAGAGTGTTGACCGATGAAACATTTTTTTAGAATGCTATTGTTTATTGCATGTTTTACTGTTCCGACTTTCGAAGAAAAGTGAGGAATATACATTTTTATTCAGACCAAAGTTAGAAAGATTTGATAACTCGTGGATCGCTCTCTTGATCTGCATGGATTCAGGCGAGTATGCATACCACTATAGTTTCATGCAACAAGTCCGTCTAAGCTGCTCGTTTTATACTTTACACGTGGCGAATTATACCGCTCTAAGAAATGGTTCAAATTTGAGTTGAGACAGTTATTGCTTTGTTAATTTCATACACGACTCAAATTGAAACACTAAGATAATACCAGCCTAAAATTCATGGTTTTGTCATAATTTAATTTACCAAAATAAACTAGAGGTCAACTAAATGGTAGTCGGAACATTCAGGGCTTTGCCCTGATACGAGCAGTCTTGTTAAGCTCAAACATCAGCAGTGACATTCTCGTCGTCAACGAAACTCGGATTCAATTTGATTATCAAAGCTACAAAGCTACTCGTATCAGGGTAGGGCTCTTTTAATTTTGACTACTCTTCTGTATTTGAATAAGATTTTAGACCTAAAAAACGATTAGTTTCGGAAGTAAAAAAAAAGTAAAGTTTCTTATCTTTTCTCTAGAAAAAATTACACTGCAACCAATGCTTAATTATGAAAAGTATAATTTGAGTTTGAAAAGCCAAAAAAAATCATTGTTTGCGCTTGCAAATTTTTCCAAGAGCCATCTCCTGACCAATAATTTTGATATTTATTTACTTTTGTCAAAAATTTTGCACTGATTTAAACTGGTTTCACGTTTGATTGAAGAAGCATTCAGCTAAAACACCTAGTACACTAGGGATCAATTCACAATACGTTATTGTATTGCCAAACTTTGCCTGCTCTTTGATTTTTTTTGCTGTCTTGGATTCCACTGACAATTACATAAAACACTGCATCGGTGAAAATTGCACTGAAAACAGTCTACTTTGCTGAATCTTCAACAAAAATTGTGATATACGCAACAAATTTTGCAAAATTTCGAAAAGTTTGTGGTATCCCTATACGAATAATTTATCGTTTTAATAAATTTAAACAGTCGAGGCTTCTGCAACTGTAAGTGGAATCCACAAACTAAAACGGAAACCGCAAAGTGTGAGCGGAATCAGCATAAATTTGCGGAATCCACTTGCCTCTGCGGAATCCAGAACAGTTACCTAAAATCGTTCGTTGCAGAATCCGCAAAAAAACTAATCTGCCGACAAAATTTACGTTACGTGTATTTGTACGCGTAATCCACGGAATTTTGGTAAGTTGAGTCCATTTACATTTGGGAAAATGTTTAAATACTTGTCACAAGAATCCAGGAAAATACATACACAAAGTTACGCGCCTATCTAGTGCACAGTTGAAGCTCGGAATTGTGCTCTGATGGAGTTCAATTTTTGTTTTAGCTTGGGATTTTTAACTATGTTTGCGAAAGTTTTTAAGGAAAAATTCAAAGATGGCGAAAAGGACGTTGTATTGAGTTGTCAGAAGACAAAATGGAAATTCAACCCGTCTTAGTTAAAAGTTTTCATCCTTCTATGAATTTTTTTTTATTAAATGGTTTTCCATTTTTATGTCAAACAAAACAAAATTTGAATCAAAATATCCTGCTTCATTGCAAAATAAAAGAAATCAACTGAAATTATTAGCAGCTAAGCGTCAATGCAAACTAAAAAAATTTATATAGTAACTACCCGTTTGGTCTCCTATGAAAAATCGCGGTAAGTGGAAACAAAACGAAAGCCGCAATCTAATTCCTAGCAACGTTTCCTTACCACTTAAACGAATTTGGCTCTCAAGTGATTTTGAAGCAGCGTTGTAAAAATGCAACAGAGCAACCGTGAAACCAATCAAGTTTGGATTTTTGCGAACTCCATTGCAGGCATTGAAAAATAATTTACAAATTAGAACTGGTTTCTTCCGTTTTACTTGTTAGAACACACTAAGAGATATCATAGTCAGCAAAACCATTTTCCTGAAAGTTGCTTGATAATGAAATTGAATTAGAATTTCTGGGTTACTACAGATTTGGATATGAATTGGTTATGATTTGGATATGAGGAATTGCATTTCGGGTATTCCAAAATCAACAAAACTCATTTGACAAAGCTGATCATTTCAAACGTTACTGCTCGTAGTATAACCAAGTCTTGAATATTTTGATTGCCTTTTGAAATCTCCGAATTTGGTTAACTCGGATTAACAGAAACTCGGAAAAAAATATATATCTTTATGTGAAAATCTTTTTGAGTGCAATAAAAAAGAATTGAAAGTTCTGTTGGAGCAATTTTTTTTGAATTTTTTTCGCTTCAACGAGCTTTGGATTGATTTAAGACTTTCTCTATGCTTGCGATATGAGCGTATAATTCCGAATTCGGAATTCTAAAATATTTTTAAAATTATTCACAGTTCAATTTTTTTTGTATTTGTTCTCATATATGCACGAATTACCAACCGGTTCCTAAAACTTCAAAACTTGTTTATTAAACTATGAAAATTAGTCAGAACAAAATTTCACACCGATGTTATGTTTTCTTCATACAAAAAGTGCAAATGTAAAGAACCAGCGCATCTTTTTGTTGTAGTTTGTCATCAAAGTATCGTCATTTACTATTTACTCATAAAAAAAAGTTTGACAAAACAACCGCAAAAAAAATCCCAAAAACAGCGCTATATCTCATATAGTTAGGCTAAAGGTGCTGTGAAAAACGATAAAAGATTGCTCCTTTGAAATTTTTTTTCTGAAAAATTTTGGAAATAGTTATGGTTAATTTTTGAATTAAAACTTTTAGTTCAAAATCGTGAAACATTTTTTTTCAATTGCCTCAAAATTGTTTACGAACAGTTAAGTGAAAACCATTCCTTTCTCAGGGGCAAAATCTATTTTCCAGTAAGTATGACAATAAATACCCTCATCCAAGTATAGGCGTAAGTAATTGATTATAACGGATTATTAAGTTGATTTTTTGACATTTATATTAGATTTAAATACCAAAATTAGGTGTTTAAAATACCTATAATCGATTATTATCGTGATTTTTTTTCAGAGATTATGATCTTTTATTATCGATTTTAATTGATTATAGCTCATAAAAACCTTATTTAAATCAATTATGATCAATAATAATCGATTAAAACCTCTTATTTTGCCAAAGTTAGTCACACTAAAAATATAATTTAATTAAATCTATGGTTTTTTTCTGTCATATCAAAATATCTAAAAATGAGATATCATGTCACACTTATTAAACTGAAAACAAATTTTTTCAACAAAACAAAATTTTCAAAGATATCTCTTCATATTAGTTGAAAAGTTCCCGCGGTTGGTGAAAAATAACTGTGTGCTGACATTGTGGTGGTTGAAAAACAAATAATAATTTTTTATATAAACTTGAACCAATTTGAAAATTTTCAAACCAAATTTCCCAGTTTTCACATACAACAATGTCCAAAAAAAGCAAGAAGTATAAACAATTCAAATTCGAAGGTCAAAGACAAAATGTGCAACGAAAGGCGACTATAATTCATCATTAGGGATGTATTGTGCAAAACATAATTATTAGAAATTGAAATAAAAAAATCGATTATAACCATTATAATAAATTATAATTGTTATAAAAAAATATTAATCGATTGAAGTGTAAAGAAAGAGAAATTATAATCGATTATTAATTGATTAAGTTTGATTTTTATAAGACTGGCACTAAAACTAGAGGTAATCAATTATTGACACTTGAAACTGGATGCAGGTAGGTTTGGATCAAAAAACCATTTCAATAATTCGAGCTTTGCTTCAATGTTAGAAAAATTGGTTTTCGAGAAGTCAGGAAAAATTGACGTGTCATAAACACAAGCGTTTGTCAAAAAACAAGGCTTGAATATTATATTTTACTTCATGACAACGATTCAGAGAATCAGCGATTTTCAAACTATTGAACAACTTTTTATAGCGTATAGATCTGGCGAGAGGAAAGGGGGAGATTTTGCTCCCACCGACCAGGGTGGGTTGAGGCCCATAGACGAGAGTCTCTACACTGACCCTGTGCTGCTGGGCCAGCCGGAGGACTTCTTCGAGGGGGGCAGACTCAGAAACAGGGACTACCTCAGGAAGACTCTGCATCTTAATTCAAAGGTCATTTTGAGGGAGTTTTTACCCACCTTCTCTTCCAAAATTTGAACAAAAAATTTGCAAAAGAAGTGAAACTTTGTGCTAAGAGTAAAAAATTGCGTAATTTACAGGGGGTTGCAACCTCGAAAATTGGATTGTGCTTTCTCTACATTGGAGAAGACGCAATAAAGTTTTAGTTTTTCGTTAAAATCTCCGCAGAATGAAGAGATGTGTCCACGATTTTCTTTTTTTGTTTGAAAAAACCTTCATATTTTCTCAGATCATTTTTTTTAATATAGCGGTCGAAAAATATCCAAGACCGGCTCGACCGAAAAAAAAAAACGTAGAGGTCGACGGGCATCCACCAGAGCTAAAATATCTGTAAGCGGCACGACTCAGGCAACGGTTACATAACTTTATTGGTGCAAATTTCAAATATTGACATTTTAAGAAATTCGTTGTTGAAGGCCAGTTGCACGTGTTTTTTTTTGCTATTGGACGAAGCGGAACAGCGTGTTTCAGAATACGTGTCAAATTTTTACATATTTGTGATAACTGTTGGATTTACTCAAGTAATTGTAAAACAGAATAAGTAAAACGTTTTAATTTAGACTGCTAACTTTGTCTTAATTTAGATCTGAGATCATGCTTGTCTTTTCATGTCTCTATCTCAACAGCAATGTCCTAAATGACTATTGCGCTTGGCCTGCATGAACGGCCTTGAATAGTAATAACAATACATAACAGAATAATTAATAGCACTATTCTCAGAGGTTACTGTGGCAGCAGTACTACACGGTACCACATTCCCCTGACAACAACAAAATTTTATATAATACTTTATGAAATTTTATAAATAATACGAGTTGTTCAAAGTTTACAGAAAATTGTTCTCCTTTTCCTTAGTCTTTTGTTATTTTCTTTAAAACTTCTTCTTTGTTTCTTGCGACGTTCCATGATCCCGCCTCGTCCAGTGACGTAGCACCAAACTTTCTCTTGAAAAGGTGTCTCTCTAGCCTGTCAAACGTGTTAGTTTCCGACGCTTCCTTGGTGTTTATGTTCAACTTCGCTAGTCGCAATCTGTAGGCCTCAAGTGCTGCCAGGTTCAACTCGGTGACATCGTCCTCACAACCAATCAGTTTTATCGAGTGTGATACGGGACTGCCATACCTCTTCGGTCCCTGGTTTTTAGTTTGTCTATTACTCCGTCTGACTGTCGTGGTGTCTTCCTCCTTATCGGATTCGTCCGCAAATCCTGGTGTGGAATAATCTACTGGGTCCATTTGTCGTGACATTAGTTTCTCGGCTTCTTTTTGGACTCCGCGAGTCAACACTTGATTTGTTACATCTTCCCATTCTTGAGATGTCATGTTATTGTTTTGAAATGTGTCCAGAATTTCTTTTTCACTTGTCTGTTTTGTGATCTTCTTGGTAGTAGGAGCTTCCTTTGGTGTCGACGACGGTATGTATACTGCCTCGTTACTCGTATCACGTTGTTTAGTAACTGTTTTGGCAGCTTTCGTCGTTCCTGATTCTTGTGTTTTGCCCCTTGTCGGTTTTTTGTTCTGGACTATCGGTCCTGCTCTGTTCGGTTTTTCCCGTTTACCTCCTAAGTTAAGGCCTCCGCCGGTTCTTGTGTCTCTTGATGTGACTACGCTCGGTGAGTTTTGGAACTTTTCTTTTAGCTGACTATCTTCTAGATTTTCATCTTGCAGCCCCCGGTCTTTCGCGTCATGTTCTTCGGCAGAATCGCTGTCTTCCTGTACTGGGAGTGTTCCTGTTTTTTGTTGTTTACTTCTCGGTTCCTCTCCGGTTGGGCTCCTTTTCTTCTCTGCACTATAGGCTTTGGGCTGTGTGGACAGTTTAGATCGCGCAATGTCGCTTTTTCTATATACTGCACCCGCAGCCGTTTTGATGGTCGATGGTGTCGCTGATACTATCTTGGATTTTAAGGGTATTGTCAGGGCCTTCCCGCTCTTCCTTTGTTCGTGTTTCCGAAGGAAACTTCCAGACAAATCCTCCTTTGATTTGGTTTGTTTGTCTTCAATGAATCCACGTTCCCATGAGTATAGAAGTTCTTTCCTCAGTTCGGGATTTATCGTACTGGTTTCATCTACGACCCGGCGTAATTCGCTGTCTGAGAGGTCCCGTCTGGTGGCATTCCACTTAGCGTTTGCCTCTAGAAGTTGTTTGAGTTCTTTAGCTCTGGCCCTCTCTTTTGCTATCGCCGTGTCGTGTCGAAACAAAGGGCTTGTATCCCTGCTATTTCGTCCTTTGCGAATGATTTTAACATTCTCCCTCGACTGATCTATTCGCCTTTTCAGCTGTGATGCTGTTAGTGCCGATCTCTCCAAGTGTTCTTTATCTAAACGATCAGAATCCATCAAAAATTTATCCCTTACAATCTTAAATTCCGTTTTCGGTAATCGGCCAAAGTGTGCTTCGAACGGGGACACTTTTATTGATTTCTGTTTATTCCATCTTAGGTCCCTAATTATTGTACTCAAACATAATTTAATCGATTGTACTTTCTCGTCGAGTAGCATTACCCCCAATCTTCTTTTAATGGTTTGTATTGTTCGTTCGACCAAGCCGCATCCTCGGTGATCCCCGACTGGACAGAATTTTTGTTCGATGTTATTTTCGGTGCAAAATTTTTTCATAGCTTTTCCTTTGAACCCCGAAAATTGGTCCGTTTTAATTGATTCCGGTATTCCATGAGTGTCTATGTAAGTACGGAGAAATTTTATTGTTGATTTTCCCCCTGTAGATTTCGTTACTTTGACTGATGGAAATTTTGAGTATCTATCAATAGCGACTAATAAGTATATCTTCTTCCCCTTATGATCTTCAAGTGGGCCCGCATAATCTAATTGTAGTTCTTGACCTGGCTGTGACAACAGTGGGAGTGGTTTAGTCGAATTTTTGGGAATTAAGTATTTAGCGTTCTTACCATAACGAGTACAGCTTCTACACTCTTCGGCCATATTGACTATGTCTTTATGCATATGCGGCCACCACAGGTAGTTTGAGACCTCCAACATTGCTTCCTGTCCAGGATGACCTTGATGAAGTCGTCGGAGCACTGCTTGTCTCAACTTTTCGGGCACGGCCAAACGATTGTCTACTAGAAGGCAATCGTCTACCACCGACATCTGGTGCCACAGAGGATTTGTGTAGGGTCCCATGAGCTCGAAACCATGTCTGTCATTCCGTTCGACTACTCTTCTTAGCCGGTCCATCCAGGTATCTTCCGACACTAGTTCTGCGAGAAGACTTTTGTCAAATAATTTGACGAGTGAAAGTGGGTTATCTGACTCCATTAACTGTTCCCCCCGTTTGTACTCAGATTTTCGTGAATTGTGTCTTGTTTTTTCTGGTGTGATTACACAAGTCTCCGTTCCTGAACTGTAATCCCGGTCGTCACTATCCAGAGTTAAATCGACTTCGACGATTTGTCCCACTACTGCTTCGTCTCCGGAAGTGGACAGACCTGGTGATTTCGGGTTTTGTATCCCCGAGGTAGCCTCTAACTCCATTGCTACAAATGGGGGTTCTGTACTCCTTCCTGAGCCCACCAGTTCCCAGAATGAGACTATTTTTGATTGAGCTGTTGAAACAGTTGAGGTCGATGGTCCTCTTTTTCTTGGGCTGACTGCTTGAGCAGTTGACGTTGATTGTCCACTTTGGGTGTGTGGCAAATACCACCTCGCCTGTGTTGTTTGTTCCAAGTCCGAATCCTCTGATTCTGATATGTGTGGTCGTATCATCCTAGTCCTGTGAAACGTTGTTGTCACTTCTTCTCTCAAGGTATTGTTGTTATTTCTCTCCTGGATCCTGACATTCTTTTTCTCTTTTCCGCTATTTTTCAATTCGTCTGATTGCATTTTTCTCGATTTCTGATTTAAGAATTTGCTGGTTTTTCTAATGACTGAACCGACTGTATCCGCTGACGATTTTGAGATATACTGATTTTTGGATTTTCGCGCTTTTCTCGTTGAAACGAACGCGAATCTTCATTTCTTTCGTTCCGGTCGTGCTTTGTCCATTTTGGACCGTTTTGGTTGCTATAGCAACGGGTAGATGACGTGTTCTTAATCGACATATTTTGATCAATTCTAGAATATTCTAGAACGTTTTCGTTCCGGTCGAGCCTATACTGATCATTTATCCGACTGTTTAAACAGTCGAGAGCTTTATGGAAACTTTCGATTGATGTAACTACGAATTTTTCATCCAATACTGACTCCGGCCAGGGTTCCCCCTTTGGATTTCGAGAAAGATAATCTACTATACCCATATCTTTTCCTGGTAAATGAACAACCTTAAATTGGTAAGGTAATAGTCTGTCTACCCATCTAGTTAATCTAGATTGGTACGTTTTATTTGATTTATTTTCATCCAAAGCAGAGACTAGCGCTTTGTGATCTGTAGCGATTACGAATTCCTTGCCTAATAAAAAGTGTTTAAATCGATCAACCGACCATACAACTGCAAGCAGTTCAAGCTCATTTGTGGAATATTTTTTTTCTTGTGTATTTAGGTACCTGGAAGCGAATGCGATTGGTATCCACTCCCCCTCAGCGTTTTGTTGTTCTAGCGATGCGCCCAGCCCACTGTGACTGGCATCACATTTCACCCTAGTGTCTAAACTGGGGTCATAATAATGAATTTTTGTTATATTCGCAACCGCTGTTTTTATTGACTCGAATATTCCCGAATGTTCTTCTTTCCATTCGAATTTTTTTACTTGAATTTTTACACTTTTGAGTTTCTTTTTCTCATTTTCTTCGCGTAATAGTGGTCTCAATTTTTCTGTTAGCGTAGCCGCATTTGGGATGAACTTGGCCAGATGATTTATACTGCCTAGAAATGATCTAAGTTGTTTCAGTGATGTTGGCGGGCTAAGTTTTAGGATCGCTTCTGTTTTTGTGATTTTAGGAGAGATTCCGTCCGACGATAACTTATGCCCCAACCAATTCACTTCCTGTTGAAAAAATTCACATTTCGACAGTTTTAATGCCAAATTCTCTTTATCTAGCTTTTTTAGGACATTCATAATCAATTCTTCATGTTCTTGTTCACTCCCTTTTGATACAATTAGTATATCATCAAGAAAACAGAACGTGTTTTCCGCATGATTTAATGTTCTGTCCATAGCTTTTTGAAACTCTGCTGGCATGTCTGCCAAACCATAAAACCCTGTTAAGAATCTGTATGTACCAGTGGCTTGCCCACCTATGATGTTGAAATTGCATTGTTTCGCTGTCTCTGCAGTCAACTTTAATTGACTGTACGCGTACTTCAAATCTAGTACTGAGAAATACAGTTTCCCGTTTGTGTTCGCTGTGACAATTTGGCTAACACCGTCTATCAATTCATCCACATTTGGCATTTGATATTTGTTTTTAAACAATTGTCTATTGATAGGTTTGGCGTCGAGCGCCAATTTTATGGAATCATCTTTTTTCACTGTTATTACAATAGGTGCTATAAAACAATCACTAGTGCATTTGTCTAATCGTTCTATATGCCCTTCTTTTAACAGTTTTTCCATTTCCTCGTACACTTTCTCTTGTATGTGTATCGGAATGCGTCTCCCCTTTTCTTGTAAAGGGCAGAGTGGGTACTTGAACTTTGTGCTAACCACATGATTTTTTGAGCAACCTTGACGATCGAAAAGATTCTTAAATTTACTGTAAAATTTGTTTTTCCAACCTTCTGACTGTTCGCACAGTAAGACATCAAACCTCGTCTTTTCTTTTGGTGCCAACTTCTGTGTTGTGTGTATTCCCACTTTGCTCTGTAAATCCAGCCCCAAAATACACCGTGTGCGTCTTTCTGTGATTAAGAACGATGCTCCCACCACTTCCCACCCCGCCGAACGGATGTTCGTGGTGATTGCACCCAGTATGTTAATCGGCTGCTTGTTGTAGTCTACAAATTTTGTAGTCAAATTGAGATTCTCCCGTGGAATAAACTTGGTATTTTTCGAAGATTCTAGAATCATCTTTGCAGTCGCCCAGTTCAAGAAAGATACTGGACTACCCGTATCAATGGTCATATTTATGATCTGATGATCGATTCTCACCAGAGCCTTTAGTGACCTTATTTGTTTCGATCGGGTATTTCTTCTGATGTCAACCTTCTGTACATCCTTTCTGTGCTTGTCGGATTCTTTGTTTTTATTCGATTGCCCTTTTATATATTCATCAATTTCTTCCAGCGAAGATAGTTCTGATTCGACCGACATAATTTCGAATTCCTCACACGATTCGAATGACTGAATCAGGTTACACTCTTCATCTGAGCTTGATGATTTTTCTGCAATCTCATTCACTTGTTGTGATTTACACATTTTAGCGAAATGGTTCGGTTTAGAACAATTCTTACATGTTTTACCCATGGCCGGGCATTTCTTCAGATGTCCTTCTCCGAATATTCGACCACATCGGGTACACGTCTTTGAATCTGCAAAACTTCTCCCCTCCTTTCTGTCTGCAAATTTCTTTCTATACCCACTGTTTGCTTGTCTTCTTCCGCTAGCATTCTTGTTACCGATACTCATTATGGGTTCTTGTTTTATCTTCGCTGCCCCATTTATCTGAACTGTACTTGCAGTTGTTGCGTTAGTTTTCTGAAACGCCTGTGTTGTCTGTTTACTTTGTTCAAACTTTAACGCTCTCTTCAGTACTTCTTCCGGTGAAAATGTTTCAAATGTCAATGTGTCTTGTAATACCACATTCTTCATTTTCGAGATGAATAGGTCCCGCACTAATTGATCCTCCAGTGTTCCTAGCTCAGCTTTTGCTGCTTGTGCAGTTAGTGCTGCATGAAATGCCTCGAGTGTTTCTCCAGTTTCTTGTGATCGATTGAATAGTTTATAACGTTCATATGTAACGCTCTGTGATTTGTCAAATGACACTTTCGCCAAGGCCACCATCTCTCGAAATTCTAACTTTGACACTTCCACATGGGGGTTCTTTTGGACGAATTTCTTCTTACCTTCTGTACCCAACGCCAGGAATAGTCTGGAAGCGACTCTTTTCTGTACCTCGTTGTAGTATACGTTGTGACCAACCTTTGGACCTCTAGCTCTTCTTTCTTCATTTTCCAGGTTAATTTTATCTCTAGCTAGTTGGTCTCTGGCTTCTCTATCAGCAATCGCTTGTGCATTTTCGTTTTCCCTTGGAGTTTCGGGTCTTGGTAACTGTTCTAACAGAACTTCTTTTGGTTCTTGTAACAAAAGTTCCGGGTCCACACTCTCCTTCACGGTTACGGCCAAAAAAAATTGATCTAGCCATATCCTAAAATTCCAGGGAGGGTCAGAGTTCGCGGTTGTCCAAAATACTGGAATCCCCATGTCCGTTCTGTTGTCTTGGGACAGGAATCCTGCTGGCTGCGCCATGTGATAACTGTTGGATTTACTCAAGTAATTGTAAAACAGAATAAGTAAAACGTTTTAATTTAGACTGCTAACTTTGTCTTAATTTAGATCTGAGATCATGCTTGTCTTTTCATGTCTCTATCTCAACAGCAATGTCCTAAATGACTATTGCGCTTGGCCTGCATGAACGGCCTTGAATAGTAATAACAATACATAACTGAATAATTAATAGCACTATTCTCAGAGGTTACTGTGGCAGCAGTACTACACGGTACCACAATATTAAATACGTGTCAACCTTTTCGTTTTCATTGTTTTTTGTTGTTTTTGTTCCGACCATTTAAAATGGGTGGTTTTTTGTATTCGGATGCGTTTTTTTTTGTTTTTGTTTTCTACGCGCAATCAGGTATTACGAATAATCATTGCACTGGGTTGAGTGATATATCATCTTGAAGCCCTTACAGTCGTGAAAATTTAAGAGCAGTCGTATTTTAACTGCTTAAAAGCTTACAATAGCTCACTTTAAATTGTAAAAAGTTAGATTTACTTGAGTAATGTTAGTTTGATTTGAGAATTTTAGCGTCTTTTTGTAATGAAAATCTTCAAAAATTTTAAAAAAAAAACTGCAAAGCTTCAAAAAAACATTTTAATTGTTTTTTTCATTTTTCAAGTTACTTTTCTCAAAAAATTGTTTTTTAATTTGCATTTTTATTATGACTGTCTAATATACCTATTCTCTAAATTTTTTTTCAGCTCATTTTATCTCAAGCCGAAAAAAAACGACAATAATTCGAAAAATTTGTTGCATTTTTTTAAGACTATGGTCGGAACACTGTGTCACTTGCACAGTAACCAGCTATCCTTGTTTTTAGTTAGGGTTTTTCATTGCAATATAGCTTCTTCAAAAACTGTAACTCTTTAAACACAAAAGTTTTGTAAAAAGAATGGTTGAACAATTTGCTTCTTATTCTGCGATTTTTGACCAGGTTTTCTCGGCGCTATGTCCAGATTTTACCTACTATTTCATAATGTGGCGAATTCAAGACTCAAATTTTATTTAACGTGACTCTTTTTAAACTCTCGTTAATAAAAAGAATAATTTGCAGACTTTCGCGATTGATTTTTGGACCATGATGACCATTTCTTCAGACCGTTGCCACGAACTTCAGGATTATTGCGACTAATTACTACCGTTTTCCAAAGTTTTGCGACTTAGTTTCAGACCGTAGCGATTGTAATGATATGTTTCCACACTAAAAAAATTTGCCCTGACTATGAGCTTTTGGTCATTGGCGAGAAATTTTAATTCTGGAAAAAAGTCGCGTATCTCACCTGGTATTTTCTCGAGAACAGTTCCCGGTCGAGGTCTCAGAATTATATTCAGACAATTTTGGTGTTTTTCTTCTACTTGATATTTTACTTGTTATCGTATTTGTTTATTTTAGTTTTACCGTACATTTTTTTTGTTTCGTTTTGAAACATGGTGTTTCTTCTGTGTTGCAGAAGCAGCGCCTTCCGAAATCTCTGATCAACACGATCACTCTTCGGCTGAAGGAGATCTACCACAAGAGCATTCGGCCACTGGAGACTCTCTACAAGTACGAGGAGATGGCACTGGGCACCATCTCAGGCAAGCAGAAACAAACGTTTAGGTTCCAAGGTCAATTAACCGAAAACAATTGACTTAGAAATATTCCTGTCTTGATTCATATCTTATTATAATTTTTTATTCCGTATAAAATAAACATGGCATTTTAGAAGCGGTGATATCCGCCAAACCGATGGTTCTCTTTTTGGGTCCCTGGTCCACGGGAAAGAGTACGATGATCAACTGGTTCGTGGGTCTACCCAGGGCTAACCAGCTGTACTCTGGCACCCAGCCCACCACCAGTGAGTTCACTGTCATCATGGCCGGGGACCATCCCAGAACAGTGGAGGGAATAGTGCTGGCTGCAGACTCCAAACAACCATTCGCTGGCAAGTCAATTAATTAGCTGGATTTTCAAAAAATATATATTAACAGATTACATGAGAAGTCTATATAAAACATTTAAAAAAATAAAAAAATAAAAACATGAGTTAAGGCAACATCGTGATTTAAAGAGGATGCCTTTAGACAACGTTTGCGGCCGGTTATCAAGAATTTCAAAACAAGTCAAAGGTTGTCAATACTGCCATTCAAAAGTAGTCAAATTTTAAGGCTGATTTGCTATTGATTCCCGAATAACCTGGTTTATACATGAGATGTACAGATACTCTTTTAAGAGAAAAAAGTATTAGGGTTGTTCATATTTATCGATCATGCTGACAGTTAAAAGACAGGAGCATGATTGCTAAGCACGGCGAACATTTCTCAAGTTGTCAAATAAACTATCTGCTGATACCAAAAGACAGTTCTGATGGCTGTTTTTAGTCATAGATGATCGACGTAAAAGACAAATATTCCATCATGTTCTGAAAACGACCCAAATTTCTTATATATAATTTGAAAATTTTTTTCTCTATTTTTTGTGTTTTTGGCTTATGTCCTACACTTTGAACTATTTAACAATTGTTTCCAGGTTTGGAGCAGTTTGGCACTCAGTTCTTGGAGAAGTTCCAGGGTCTGGAGTATCCTTCCCAGTTGTTAGAGAGAGTGACTCTGGTTGATACTCCTGGCATCATTGAGAACAGACACAAGCAGGAGAGGGGGTACCCCTTCAATGACGTCATGCAGTGGTTCATTGACAGGTATCCGAAAAAAGCCCACTTTGGAAATGAATTTGTTAAGACCTGAGAAAATAGTTGTAAAATGAGTCTCTCATTTTACCGTTAGACGTAATTGGGCTATAAATTTATTATCTCATATTTCGAAGTAAATCAGTTCGAATAACATATGGTAGGTAGAACCTAATCATTTGAAACTAAAAAAAATTGATTCAAACGCTTGAAATTGTTTTTTTGTGGGTCATACTCACCTTGAATGAGCAGGAAAACTTCATAGAGTTCCAATTCTAATTTTCAACATTTGAGCATCGAATCACTTTGTTCTTCTTAATTGAATTTTTCTGTTTCGATTAGAGCCCATCTGATAGTTCTGGTGTTCGACCCAACTAAACTAGACGTCGGCAGTGAACTGGAAACCCTATTCACACGTCTCAAAGGACGGGAGTCCCAACTTAGACTTCTTCTAAACAAGGCGGACTCCATTCCCATGCAGGAACTGATGAGAGTCTACGGGACTCTCTTTTGGAATCTAGCCCCTTTTATGAACGTCACTGAACCCCCCAGGGTTTATACCGGATCTTGCTGGTGGAAAGATATGCAAGCTAAGGGTATAAATGCAGAACTCTTTCTCAGCGAGGAGAAAAATCTTCTAAATGACATTAATGACGTAATCGAGAACCAGTTACATAACAAAATCGCGATGTTGCGTCAACATGCTATAAAAGTACGTACACATGCCTTGTTGGTCGACAGATTCTTGTACATGTGGAACAAAAACCAAAACAACGACAAATTTAACGTTCAAGAAATGATTGAAAAACCGGAGAAATATCATATCTACAAATTCGTGCAACACCACGCAAATGTGTCTAAATACGATATGCCGGAACCCTCGAAATATAAACAGCTCTTCGATGAACATCCCTTAACGACGTTCAGAAGTCTCGAATCGCTTTGCTCGTTGTTTGCCGGATGTCCGATCGAGATTTTGGAATCGGCAATTCAGTCGGAACTTCCGACGTTGCTCAATTCACTGGATGTCAGTATTAAAGAACACCAAGCTCCGGATGCAAAAGAGAAAAACGAAACTGCAGTCGGAAGTGAAAAGAACAAAAGTGGCGATTCGAACTCGACTAAAGTTCCTGAACAAGGCGTGAAAAACTAGATGATGACGAATCTAATGATTTAACACTAACAAATTCTGCTCTTCAACTGAATTGAAAATTTAACTCTTAAATCAGATAAAAACTCAAAGCTTGAATAACATCCACTGAAATATAATATTACCACAATTTTTTCTCAAACTTAAATGCCTTTCTTCATCTGTCTAGTATTTCGTATTTTGGTTTTTTTGGCCATATAATCCTTTTTAAAGGTCTGGACAGTGGTGCTCCGAGGGGGTCAGGCTGCCAACTTCCGTGCCGAGGGCTTGGCGTGTCGGGATGTCGGGAGGAGTGGGGGTGGGGGGTGGTTTGGTTTGTAGCTTTTATTGACACAACTATTCTTCCCCTGAACTCTGCGGTAGCCAAATTTTTCCAAAGCGCCAAATGTTGATTTATTTTATGACAGCCATTTCTGGCTCACCAAAACTCAAGATTTTCTTAAAGCCCAAATCTATTGGTTTTAAAACTAGGGGGGAGCTCCCGCCGAGAAAACGCGACTTTTTGATCAAAACGTCCAAAAAATTATCATTAACACCGTTTTGGCCTGTTTTTTCAAAAATTTCCCAGTGGCGGTAGGAGATGTTTGCCAAAATATGGTTTTCAAGGGTTTAGGATGGGGAGTTTTTTATAGCCAAATAATGCAACCCTAAAAAAGCCAAACAATTTTTAAATTTTTCTATACCCCCCCTCCGGAAAAAATGCGCGTCTTTGGGGAAAATGTATTGCCCCCATTGGGAAAAAAAAACATTAATTGCCCCCATTGGGAAAAAAAACATTAACAAAAACGAATTTTTCTGATCCTAAAACGAGGGCTGTAATTATGACTCTACAAAACTGAAATGCAAATGATCCGCTTTTTTTTGACTTCTAACTTTTTCAGCAACCAAGAAGCATATACAGTTGACAAGAGTTATCTAAGTTTTTCATTTGATAGAATTTGAAAAAGATTCCAAAAAACAGCCTCTCGTACGCTCATTATTCATCGCAACTACTCAAATGATTTTTGGGCGGCTCTCCCAAAAATACCTTTTAGCATAAAACAATTTTTTTGAATTTCATACAACTGTTTATTACGCGAAATGTTTAGAGGATGGTCTTTTATAACAGTTTTGTCCATACCGTTGTGGATATTTTGCGTGAACTATACTTTCAAAACAATCAAAATTTCCAGTCCTGAATTGATTCAGCAGTCGACCCAAACTACTGAAATTCAACCATGGACAGATTTTACACTGAAACCTGGTTTTGTGAAAACTTTCTGTGACAACTATTTGAATATAAAACAGTGGGCGGTGCGCGTTCCAAAACGACCCAGAATATGTTTTGTACCAGGAGACGAATTCATGTCCGGGGTTATTTTGGAAAACGGAAATTGGGAAAACGCTGCTCAAAATATTCTATTCAAACATTTAATGCCTAAGTTTCCACAAGCTGTTTTCTTTGATATAGGAGCAAACATTGGAGTATATACTGTATCAGCTGCTTTGCTAGGGCGAAGAGTATTCGCATTTGAACCCATTTTGAATACGCTAGAAAGTTTGACCCAAACTGTTGCGATAAACAATTTAACTGAAACTGTAACCATTTTTCCATATGCGCTTATGGATAGCAAAATGTGTGTTTATTCCTCATTGTTTATAAGCAAATCAAATGTCGGCGCAACTAAACTACTCGAGGATAGAAATTGCAAAAGGGCTGAAAACATTCGAGTGACAACCCTGGATAACATGCTACCATTACTAAATTTAAAGAATATTAATCAAGTAATAATAAAAATGGACATTGAAGGATCCGAGCCTAATGCTATAATTGGTGGACAGAAGTTTCTAGAAGAAGTTGATGTATTCTATATTTTGATGGAGTTTCACAATATTGTTAAGCCCATGAATTCGAAAAGTCGAAAAAATGGAAGCAAAAGAAGGAAGTTTCTAGAGGCCATGTTAATACTGGGACGGAAGTTTTATCCAACTACATTATTAGGAGGCAAAAAATTAAACATTATGAACTTGCACAAGTGTTATGAAGATGTTTTGTGGATAAAAAAATAAAAACGTTTCTTTAAGCCACGTAACTTTGGGATTTTGCTTTCAGCTTTCAACGAAAGTATATCCTTTTTTTTCCGAAACTTAGGCAAGTTTCCGTTTTTACGAAAAATCTCAACCAGAGCTACAGCAAGCAAGAGTCACTCGAGGAGAGTTTTTACCGCAAAGTATTGCGTTAAAGGGATTACCTTTCGATTTCAGCCAATCTAAGGGTTCCTGAGTATTTTTAATAAAAATTTTGCAAGGTTTCCTCAAATGTCATATTAACGTACTAGGCGCATTTTTTCAAGTGAAAAACAAATCAATCAAACTTTCAAATGGAAAAATTCATTTTTGGTACAGAAAATAAACCTGTAAAACACATTCGTAGAATTCTTTTCCGCCCAACTATCAAATTCAAAAATCAATTGAGAACCATACATTAAAATTTTCTCGTTTGTTTAATAATTTAGAAAACTGAATATCTTCTGTAGAAGTAATCGTATTCCCCGTCATCGCAACGGCGGGGGACAATTGTTGAACACAAGGGGACAAATTGTATGTTTCTGTTGTGATTAGAGGGGACAAAATTGTCCCCTCACCGTTGTATTGACTGGGTATATTCCCAAATGGTAAAAGAATTACATGTTTTGCTTTCAATATCTCGCTTTTTTTCCCACGCATGCTTCACTTATCTTTTACATCCGGTAAAACATTTACCATTGGTAGTTGAATTAAGTTCAACACTTACCTTTTGAAATTTTTGCCGGTAAAACTAAAAACAGTCAGCATAAGTTCAAACCCGTTTATGCCACCAACAGAGCGAAAACTATTTCAAAGAACCATTCCAGCTTCGCCTTCGAATTAACTTAGATTACAAAGACGCTGTGAAGTTGAGAAAATTTAACTTATATATCCAAAAACTAAATCAGTTCAGCCCAACCCAAATTGCCATGCGTTTTTTACGCTTCATTGTCAAGAAAACAATTATCCTGGATTTAGTTAGCAAAAAAGATGCTAATCAGTTTGTCAAAACGAAAATTTCAAACGTACCAAATTTTAAATTACAAATCAATTCAATTCAATCAGAACGGCATGGTTAAACTAAAATTTCTCGAAAACAACTAGGAAAAATTTATACTCAAACGTTTCAATGAAAAATCTCAGAGTAAGTTCTCATACTAAGTGAAATTAGGAGGTTTTACTGTAGTTCACGTTAAATAAGCAAGCATTGCAATGAAATGAGGGGTTGTTTTTAACATACATCAGATAAACAAGAATGTTATATGATCTGTTGTGAGTGGCTGGCGAGATGGTGGTAGGTAAAGTTCAACTGAAGTATCATCCAAATCACCTAAATTAGTTTTCATTGCTATCGAATATTCTCGCTCGTTTTTCGGGGGCGGGCATGTTTTTTCTCCGTCCGAGTTGTCAGCCTCTACTGTTTGATCTTTTATGAACTCACAGTAGAAAGAGTCTGACTCCGAGTTATCAGACAAATTTTCAAAATCAATTAATTTTTCTTCTAATTCTGTTTTACTATACCGGCGCTTGAGAAATCCAGCGTCCGGTGGTTCAAAGGATTCATCGACTGTTCACTTATTTATTAAAGCATTTCACAACTATTTTCATTAAAGCCACTTGTTTCACCACCAATACTGCAAGGATCTTTCTCCCACTCCCAGTTATCAAGCATCTGACGAAAAAAATTTCTTTACATTTTTAATATGGTCAAATTGCGTAAGTAAAGTTACTGTCACGGAATATAGATTTGCATTCGCATTTCAACAAAAAGTAAATAGCTCGTGTTTTGTCGATTGAATTCATTAGTTCGGAGCACTAAACGATTCTTGTCTGTACAAGCAGTCACTAAACACTTGATGATTGATGGTTGCTTGAGCATATTTAGAGACCCCATCCTTTGACTTCTTGGTTGAATCCAAAAAAAACTTTCGAACGAACAACTAATTTGAATTGAAACCCTCACCAATAATCATCTTAAGAAGGAAATGAAGTTTAAAAAATCTCAGCTGAAACGTAATACCCAAAATTCATTTTTTCCTTCTGATTGTCAAAAAATTAACATCACTAACTGTCCAATTGTAACGATATCGTACATCTTGGCTTTGAGCGCAAAAAACTCCACCATAACGCTCCCTGCCAGTGCATTCTTGAACTTTAGCCTTTTTTTTTCTTCAACGGAATACAAGGGTGACTGCCGGGGGTAATTGGAGTGTCAACACTTGTTTTTCATCGAAGGCTTTTGAAGGTCGTCATATGAATTTTTTGTTTTGTTAAATCTTCATATATAAGAGAGTCGGTTTCACTGTAAGGAAGGTTACAAACAAAATTCTTTTTCAATGCAAAAGAGTGAAATTGGATCATAAAGTGCTTCGTCAGATTCAAAATTGCAGCATCCAAAATTGTTATTTTCTTCCACAGCAACCGAGTTTTTCCGTATTGTTTCAGCTGCCAAATTTTTTCAGAGAAAATTTTCAAATTTTTAGTATTATACCGATCAATTTTTTGTAAGATTCAGCATGAATTCTAACCATTTCCATTTTCATTCTTTTGAGTGGTTTTTAGCATGTTTTCCTACAAGCAGCGTTTAAAACCATTTTGAAAATATCTTATCAAACTTGTTTTAAGCTTCTTTGTTTTGAGGGTTTAGCTCTGTAAATGGTGCAAACCAAAAACTTTGTTTAAACTTGAGGACTCAATATACTTTCTAATCCGTAATCTTAATCCTATTAAATCATAAACACTGAGTGTGATGTAATGAATTGTATAGTGTTTCATATTGAACAATGTTTACAGAAATTTTTGGTCTTATTCAGTTTTTATACTGCATGCGATCTCTGAGCTCAGCTTGAAACTCGCTGAGCCAAGTGATATCAACAAAAATTTTCGTGGGTGCCGAGGGGAAGTCTTTAAGGAGGCCATGGCATTCGGTAAGATATTCTAGATCGACTTTGATTGACTTTGGTTTCTAGGAATTCTTTGAGGTCGTAGTTTTCCAAGGTGACAAATTTGAGGAGAGACAATGGATATGTTTCCATGACACCACCATATAAATTGATTGCGTCGATCATCAGACTG